AATAAATTTATATAAATTAAAAGAATCAAGAACTGGCCAGCTAAAGTTATGACACTGAAGTAAAAGAAGAAAACATTTATTAACTACTTGTTGAAATAAAATGCTATAATTATAGACTAGCACATCCTGTAAGGAAAATTATTCCCAAGATAGAGAGCAATTGGATGATGAAGATATAGTTTATCATAGTTTTGAAAACTAACTTCCACGAACCAGAAGGAAACATCATCCCTGGCGACGACACCGTGATGCGCTCTAAACTGGACCTAGCTGTTGATTAATCCTACCATTTCTTTATAAGAATATTAGATACTGCATGGACAAAAACAGCTATTTTAAATAATTTAAATGCTCAACAGTACTTGTTTGTACATGCCATGTTTAGTGCTTGAAGGCTATAAATTTTAGTCGAAACAACAAATTACAGTTTAATGAGGTTAAATACTCTACACGAAGATGAGGATTTATTAGCAATCATGTTTATGACCTTCATAACCTGTTGAGTTAAATCTTACGTGTTGGTGAGCGCGAAGTAAGTTGTTGGCGTGGCGGGTTCGATTCCACTCAAGGGCAATCTTTGTCTTCTTCTCCAATTCTCTTGCGCAAGGAATCTACCAAAATTTGATCAAGACGAAAGAACACCAAACTCACAACCTACAGGTTGCGAATTCAAGCCCCGGTTGGTGAGGGGGGGGGGGTTACTTGCTCTTCTTCCTTCCGAGGTTGATAAATGAGTACCACCCTTTGGGAAAGAAACAGGAATCTATACGCTAAGCCTGCAACATAGCTGCAGACTCTGACATTAACATAAGACACTCATTGATGATTGCTCAGAAACGCAAGTCAGCATCACACTCACAGACTTCATGAAAAGAAGGACGCCAAAATGGCTCAGTCATGAAAGTGAAGGAAAACTGACATTTCAATACGGTGATAAACTTTCTTCTTTTAGCGTGCTGCGGTAAAGAATGTGTAGTGCTTTTGCCCGGTATCCACATTTGCTGTAAGAAGTCCCAATCGAGTTACTTTGCAACAGTGCAGATAAGAAAGCTGTGCTAAGCTATGAATTGATGCCCAAGCTTTATTTTTGACACAGATACTTGATCGAAACCTTTATCAGTGTAGTATTAGCATTTGCCCGTAGGTCCGGAAATTCAGGGCATGTTCAGTTCAGCTATAATTTTAACCCAAAAAACTGAGTTTCCTAAAAGTCTTGGCAACATTATAGGCAGATCATCAGCAAAATAATCGAACGATGAAGATGAAACCCAAAGAACGAGGTACTCAGTGTACTTCATACATTTCTTGCTTACCTTAACGGTCGCCGCTCTGGGTGTGCCATAAATCAAAGCCAGCTCTCCAAAGCCTCCGCCTTGCTTGATGGTTGTCACCTTTTCACCGTTGACAAAGACTTCTACCTGGCCTGAATCTATTACGTAAAAGTTGTCCCCTTCGTCACCTAAAGAAAAAAGTTGACAAAGCAAAAAACCTATCGTGCATTTAAGAGAACAAAACATGAATGATCCTGAAGTTGGACCACTCATGACAAAAAATAGAGCAGTACTAAAAATTATGATTAATTTCCCTTGAGGGCAGAAAAACATTTACTTAAATAGGACTGCAAAAATTGAAAGCAGAAAAACAGAGGGCTCATGTCTCGTGCGCGCAGCTTAAGCCAGACTACGGCGAACTAGATCACTCGAAGAGGCTGACAAACATATCACATGGTACTCAAGGGTTAATAGCTCCCAATTAGAAGGCCTCATCTCAGGTGAGACAATGAGCTAAAACAAATATATGTAAGCTTGTGACTACAAATCACGAGACACAAAAAAGCGATAACTGAGAGATTAAGCAGCGATGATCCCCTTTATATACAAAGAATGATGGTCAATTACTGCTGTTGAAATTTACTTTCAATATACGCTCGAACGAAATTTAAATTTTTAAACAAAACAGGTTTTAGGCACGATACAGATTTTCTTCATTATTCTGATATTTTCTGTTTTGGTACCGAAGGCGTCAGGAGTCTGTTCTCAGGTAACATTACGATAAAACTTAAGATAGAAAAGGAAAAAACTGCGAACATCTAGCAGTAGAAAAGTGATGCAGGAACGAACAACAGAAATGAAACGAAAACTTAAAAAAAGTAAGTAACGGAGTTCTGAAGGGCAGAAACTAGCGGTTGCAAATATGAAGTACGCCAGTGGTCATACTGATTAAACCTTCGATGAATTTTTTTTCGTACAGCAATGCTTCTTCGAACCGGAAATCTTAACGAAGTGTTCCGAATGAAATCAGAAGTCAAGTGTATCAAAGTCATCCTGGAGCATGATACGCACTAGAAAAAGAACGTTGCAACCGCAGTTCAGAAACTTCGCAAAAAACGGCTCGTTTTTCCCGCGGTTGAAACTGGCAGGCTCAATTACCGCCCGT